TTGAGACTTATAAATATGCTATTAGTAGATTTTGATGTGAACAGAGTTCATTAATACTAGTCAAAAATAAACAAGAACAATAAATTTAATTGAGTTTGATAAAACAAGTTAATTCTTTTTCTGAGTTATTTAGTTATTGAGAAGTTAAAATTTGTTCAATGGCAGATCTTATTTTTTAGAAAAAAAACTGTTAGTGAACATTTTACCAAGGTGTTCGGGTACGTTTCCTTTAATATTCTAAGAATATTTATTACCAATGATAGACTCTCTTTTTTTCACAGAATAAAATTTGTTACTATCTCATCATACACATGTCGAATAAGTAAAATACTGTTTTTCTAACGATTATGTAGAACAAAATTGAATTGAAACAAAAATTTGTTGGAAAGGCTGGTGAAAAATATAACTTTTTAGGGGACATAATAGAAGACCCGCCTTGTAACTTATGAGCGATAAGACAGAATAGAAGACTCCGGATCTTCTAATGTGTCGATGGCTTTACACAGATGCGTACGTAAGAAAAGAAAAAAACACTACAATCAATAATAAGATTACATCAGTGTCAGTGTTTGTTTCGTTGACTCATTCGTTATTCGTTTATTTTTTTTTGTTGCTTTGTGTATAAACGTTGCGATAATATCAAACATGTAATATAATGATGATATTAATTTTTTTTGTGTTACTTTTGAATTAAGAAAGAATGATTCATATCTTAAATATACGTACCGATTGCAATTTAAAACAAAATAACAACAATACTTTTCATCATTAGTCATCTATTTGAAAACAGCAGCTTTTTATCTTGTTCCTATCAAAACTTATCGAAAAAATGGTCAATAATCTTTTTGTGTCAGACAGTTGTTGAAATACGAAACTATCTTTGTACTTTGCAAATATTACAAAACAATGTTATTTTCATCGCAAGTTTGAAATTTTTGTTTTCTGAAATCTCACGTATTAAAAAGTCGAGAGACAATCATCTGCTTGTGAAGAAATAACTTGATATTTTAAAATTTTGTGAAAAATTCAAGAACTTTCATGTCATGTATTGATTGGGATGTCATCTTGTTTCAGACTAAAATGCTAAAATCAGATTTCAGTCAAAAATGGATTACGTTTTATGAAATTTCCTAATGATCAATATTTTTGAAACAACAAAAACTTATCTAAAGAAAATGCAATCAACTTGCAATTAGAGACAGATTTAAATACTCTGCATCTTTAATATATATTTGAAAGAATTGGCATTCATAGTTGATGATATATAGATTTCACAATCAAAAAAAGATAAAGTTTCTCTAATGTTTAGATATGTCAATATTTATTCGAGATAATAAATAAATTATTTGAGAAAATATAAAAAAATTGTTCTAGCTAGTATTCTTTACTGTTTTCTAATGAAATAGGTTAGTATATTATGATAGAGATTAATTTGATAATGATAAGCTTTTGTATCAAAGTTTGTGAAAGGACAAAATTTAGGCAGACATTGTACATTGCTGAGTATTTGCATCCCAATTTTGTTGAATAAGATAACGTCTGTCACCAGCCTGTACATTGTACTTAATACCATGTTGAAGCTTAACAGTTGGTTCATATCGATGGGAACTAAAGTTACATAATAAATTACATTTATAATAAATCTCAGTTTCCGATATAAATTATACGATTAGTGTTACAATTTATTTCAAATATTTTCATATGTTCTTTCATTTATTGTAGATATATGAAATTTATCTGATAGAATGCATATTTTTATTCAATTTCGATTTAGTAAAAGTTCCTACCTACAATCAAATATTATTTCAACAGACTTTTATTCTCTTTGCAGTTCAAAAAAAAAAATAACGAATTGCTTCCTTTTCATTCTTATATATATATGGATATATGTATTCATGAATGGAGTTTTCTATTTGGCTATATTCAAAATAATGATCACATTTTTGTAAAGACTCATAAACAATTAATCAATTTTAATAAAAAAACAAAAAAAATCTATATCTGACTTTTCAGTATAACTAGATAAGAGATTGGCACTGAAAATGATATTAAATAGTGCCAAATTGTAGGCTAGATTCTTGAGAAAAGCTGAAATACACTTTTCTTGCACTGGTATTTAGCCTATTTTGATTGGACGTGCTGGATTTCAGAAAGAAATTAGGTGAAACAATAGTTGTATATGAATCTGTAAGACGAAGAGTAACTCATGATGATCTAGTGACTAGGAGATTTATCTGATAAATTAAAGATGTGAGTTCTAGACAGTCGATGTAAATACACATGTAAATATGACTAAATAACGATCACCATCAGCTAACTATGGATCCACTGTCGTCAATTCTTTTTTGGAATCTAATCTCTACATTTCTTCTCTTACAATATATAACTGTCATTATATAAAAGTATACGAATAGACTTATCATTAGAAGACTTCCTTTAACTAAATATTTCACTAAAAAAAGAGTGCTAAAAATGTATGTAACAAATCATAGACAATACTATATTTTCATATTTACCATTTGTCAGCATTTTCATAGTTATTTTCATCACGCCATGAATTCACGTATGGATCTGTAATTGCTTCTGCTAATTCATGTGCCACAGTACTCATCATAGCGTCAATACCACGATCACCATTAGGTGTGCCATTTGGATTCGCGTCAATTTTACTACAGCCATTATCAGTAGATCTTGCCAGATCTCCTGTAACTGCGTAGATATAGTTTGTTCCTTCAATTGAGAAATAATAATGATAACCGCAATAGTCCTTTATTAAACTTTGATCGAATACATTAGTTTCGTCTATCTCTGCAGAATTCAGCCACAAGTAGATACCATTCGGATCATTTGGAATAGATCCAGCCTGAATTAAAGTAGTTAATGTGTTTGGAATACTATTTTTACTAAGTGTAGTTCCATAGCTGGTCCCCAAATTATATGTCGTCGTGGCTTCCAGTGGACCTGTTACATATGTTTGAACTCCATCTATCTCTTGATAATAAGTACGTAGTATGTTGAACCATGGTGTATTTGCAATGTTCACAATAAATGTAAGCACTATATTCTTTTGTTCCTCAGTCCAAGTACCATAAAACTGTAAATAAAATGAGGTTGCTAAATAAATAATAAACAAATAACATGAAGATACTCACAAAAGTATAGACTTTGATAGTTCCAGTTAGTACAGGATTCCCAGGATTATATATAATATCACCTTGAGGTCCTTTACGTGGATCAGCATTTACATGAGATGTTGCGCCCAGCTTTACGGGTGCTTCGATGATATTCTCTAATACTGAATCTAAATGAATGATTAGAATTTCACAAATATTTTAATATGGAAATATTGATAATCTGTTATGAATTTTTTTTTAGCATAATCTAGGCTAGATTTTGAACAATCATAAAATTCAAAAAGTAAAACAAAAATCACAAAAAAAAACCAATCATTAATTGTCTATATATATCAAAAACTTCACTAGTGGAAATTTTTTTCCGAACTAAAGTTTCAATTAAATCCATCTAACAAATAAACATATAAGTTAATCAAATGAATTTATTACATAATGACAGAAACAAATTTTAAGATATGAGATTATTCACAATAATACTTTCAAAATATATTCTTAATCATTGCAATATCCTGGAAAGGATACACGTTTCATTCGAAAAATATTTATCCCTCAAACAGTATTCAATTTTTCTATTTCAATCAAAATTGAATTGGCAATTCAAAACAGATTAAGGAATATCTATGACAATGAGCATTTTCTTATTATTGTAATTCGAATGATGTGAATTTTCTTACTTTGGACAGCCACTTTGTCACGTTTCGAATTCTTAATAATGAATTGCTGCGATGGTGTAATAATACTTGCAATAATGATGAACACTAATACACAAGGATTGCAATTGAGCTCCATAACAATTCTATCATGTATAAATATTTATATTTAAGATAAATAGGTATGTTTCTCTTCATAACTTACTTGTGATATTGCTTGCTATTGAGAAGAATAGTGAAACAGATAATGGTTATATTATGCAGGATTTTCTGCTATTTATATATTTGAGTCTTGCTGTTTTCGATGTGTTGATTGGCTCTCTAGCTTATACTTGCACAGTAGCCTACACTGATTTATTATTGCTCTTTTAAGCTAACGATTGGTCCAATTGATGATAAGTACATGGAGAGAGATAAAGGTAATCTCAATAACGTGGGCAAAAGCCTACTAACTTGCTCGCATGTATAATACGTTTATGATTTAATCATGTCTGCATAAACAAAAATATTCGAACTATTACGACAATGACAATGTATTTTATTTTTTTGACCTCTAGTAGTACTTATGAAGTGACGTAGCATATAAACTTTTCTATAACATAATTTATTGAAATAGGTCAAACTAAATTTAAAAAACGTTGACAATAGAAAAATTTACATTTTATATGCATTTTCATTTATTTTATAACGTTTCAATAAGCAAGAGTATTATTTTGAATTTACAACAAAAAGAAAACAAAATTCAAACACTATATATATTGATGATATGACGGACATATACACTTACTGAAATTTGATTCATAACTTCTTGAAATCTTGTAAAATCGATAAAATTTGATTTTTTAATACTTACAATATTTTCATTTTGTTTCTGCTTTTTTTCGTTCTCTATATGTACATTTATCTAATATTTGTTGGTTTTAATTGTATATAACTATTCAACAATCTGTATATGATTTGAATCATTTCTAGTTCTTATTACTTTGAAATAATCATTTAAATCATTAAAGTCTCTCTCATTCAAAATTAATTCAGCTTTTACTTTACATATGATAAATTTTTATTGATACTTTTTTAGTATTTTTCTATATCTTAAACTTAAACAAAGGATATCAGTCTTTTGTTTATATATGTTAAGCCGATGTGGCATCAAATTAAATTAAGAAAATTATTTAATTGCAACAAATATTCTAATTATATTTTGTTTTATTTTTATTTTCATTAAAATAAATTTACTTTCATAAAATTATTGTATTTGTTTAATGTTAAAACAAAATAATTTAATCTTCTACAACTGTTTAATTTATTTTACGATGACATGAATCAATGCAATATTTTTATGTTGTTGCATCAGATTTATTCACAATCAAAACTATCCATAACAATTTAAATTCTAAATAACTTTTATTTTAATTTAAATTATGTTTCTGTCTTTAGTTTAGATTTGTTTTGCAATTAAACAAAGTCGAAGTGAACATGTTTTTCTAGTGTAAACCATATATTTATGTTTATCTATATGATATTCAGTCAATCAAGGTCAACAAGCTCTTTTTTTCCTTAACTATTACAAGTGAAGTCAAGAGTAAATCGAATTTGCTATAACGATCCTCTATAAGATTCTGCAAAATTATCCTTGAATTATTTAAATTAACTATACTATCTGACATACACATCATCGAAGAATCATACACTACGATTTTATCAGAAATGATAGATTTAAGTTTATAAATAAAATCGTACAAGATCATATACGATTTTTATACGATTTTGTATCTTAGAGAAACATTATACAGTAATTTTTATATAATCTCATAAGAATTATAAAAGATCTTATAATTGAATTGTTTCATTTGGACTGATAAAATGAATAAAATATAATTTAAACTACACTAGTTTGATTTGTATCTTTATTCAATATATTTTATCTATCCAAATTGCTTTTTATTTGTTTTTAGATTTTACATAGTCGTCAGGAATATGTATAGATAGATTTTCGATTGGATCTTGTTATTTTTAGTTCTTGAAAATACGCCTTTTATGTGACTGAAACGTTATCTACAGAAGAAAATTAAATTGAGAATCTAATTTTCGTACTTGAATTGTTCAATTACTAGAGATAATCATGAAAAAAGAATCCATATTCTATACAATTTACTAGTTGTACAAGAGATGAAACGTCAAAACGTATTGATCATAATTTCGATTGATGAGATATTATCACACGTGACGGTGAATAATAAATCCCTATAGTTTACATAAAAGCAAGCACATTAGTTGGTTTATATGTATTATATAACGATTATTGTTATTAGTCTTTGTTTTTTTTCTTACATTTATTATCAATGATTGTTAGGAGCAAACCAATATATGAATGATAAAGTACAATGAATGCTTTGTTTATGATCATTCTTGTGCTTACTGATTTTTTACCTAATAATTGAAAAATATTCACCATAATTTATCATCCATTTATGCACATGTTCCTTAAAGTAATGGATAAATAAATGCAAAAGAAAACAAAAAACCCATAACTACTATCGACAGATAGTGGAGAAAAAAAGCCGGGGATGGCATAGTGGCTCTATGCATCTGATTATCAGTCAGACATCAGAAGATTCGATTCATTCCCCCGGCACGGTGTCTTCGGTGTCAAGATATACGGTATCGGAAGAATAAACGAAGGAACCACAGCAATGTACGCCGACCTCGTCATTACTGCCTCGATTTCGATTTTCGTTCTGTTCGTTTTCGCTTCCTTGGCATTCTTTCTCTGTTTGTTATCGTTATCTTGTCTGTTGATTTCTATGTTCGTAAGCGTCCGCAAAAATTCTATAAAAAAGCACAAAAAAAATATATGAATGTCACGAATAAAATTCAGCATAATTAAAAAAAAATAGTGGAGAAAAATCACATGATGCACTTATTTTGATTCAATGTATATGTTATAGTTATTCAGAATTGCATGAGATAATATCTCATTAATCGAAAGTATGATCAATCTGTTTTGACGTTTCATCTCTTGCACACCTAATACATTCAATACCATACGAACTTTTTTTTCCTTAGCATCATATCTAGTAATTCAAAAGTTCAAGAAAAAAATTTTTATTCTCAATCTAATTTTCTTCTTGATACAACATTTCAATTGCATAAAAGGAGTGTTTTGAAGAAATAACAATAAGAAGAATAATTCGAGAGTCTATGTATATGTCCTAGGCAAAATTCGTTCGAAACAGGCGCTAAACTACAAAATTATTTTCGTTTATCTAAAAACGAGTTTTAATTCACATTAATAATATCTAGTAAATATTTTGTTTTTTTTTGAATTCGGTGAATAATTATTTATTTTGACTTATTTATACTGAAAATGCATCTAACAATAACTTGGTTTATATAAGTATCAGAAGGTGATATTCGAAAAGGCTTTTAAAAACTAGTTATTATACTAGTTTTTTCATGCATTACAATCAGACCGATAACATACATTACCCTACAACAAGAATCACATAAGTTAAAAATTCTTTTGTTTTTTATCTATTAAATTACTAAGTGTTGTGATTAGTAACGGTAAACGACCGATTAAAATTTATTGAATCTAGTCTATAAGCCAATCAAAAAACATTTTTTACATTCTTTTTAAAAATTTGATCATAAAAGTATTTCTTTTGCAGTAGAACTATTGTTCTTATCACGCATGAAGAATACTTATATCTGGAAATGATATCCATCAGAATAGTCTATACAGTCAAGATAGTGGAAAGTATCCTAGTAGTTAACCTAATCATATACATATTCCTAGTCAATATGTACAATCTAAAAATTAAATATCTTAGATAGGTGAATAAATTGAATAAAGATAAAACTCAAACTAACGCATTTTAAAACAAACTTTATTCATTCTATCAGATTTTAATAAGTTGTAGACGAGCTCACATCAGTGATTGGATCAGTTTGGTTAATTGAGGAATCTAGAGTTTTCCAATATGTCGAATTTATCTTAAGAGTATGGTATCCAGAAGAAACTTATAGAAGTTTGATATTGAATTCCAATGACTACTTTTTATCGAAAGATTTCTCTGAAAAACATTAGCATTTTCTTCAATCCATCTAAGAATGTTCTTTTCTATCAATAGTATTCAATTTTTAGAGTTTTGATAGTAAACTATATCAAAGAGTGATCGATGTTGCACTGATAGAACATGAAAGTAAGTATGCGTACAACAAGAATAACTAAAACTTCCGAATATTTATATATTCCAGAGTAATATAGTACACCACTTCTATAAGTACAAGGATCTTTCCTGATTCAAATTACGAAGTCATTTGACAGACTATGATATATGTTAACATCTATCTTTCAGTACACAACAATATAAGTATATAACAAAAAAGAAGCTAATTATTTTCTATGTATTGATTCGTTTTCATACACATATTTAAAAATATTATTTCATACGGTATCTATTATTTATGTCATATTGATAAAAATAACTTGGAAATCCCTTTTGATCACTTGTACTTTCAACTTATAATAAATTTAACCTTGATTAGAGTAAAAGTAAATCGATTACTATGCACTATTTCTCTGGTTTTTATTCTTCTTAATACGAAAAAAAAAGAACTAAGAAGCAACACATTTTATCTTTGTGATTGGGATGTATAAGTCATTGCATAAATGAATTAATAATATAAGGATTTAATCGAAACTGTAACAATAAAGTCGATCATTCGATTTCGCAACGTTGCAAATACAGATATGATATATCAAGTGAATGCATAAATTTCATTGTTAACAATTTTATAATCATGTAATAGCTATGTATGAAACATTCTACGTAAAACATGATCAAACCTGCTCATTCAAAGTTGTCAGATGGGGCTTATTTTTTTTTATGTTTATACAGAGGCAACAGTTCTTAGAATTAAATAAAACATTAAAAACATGGATTTTTAATAATATAACAATTCTTATAATAAGACGAGCAACATATAACAATATCTCAATCAAATCTTGATTTAGTAGATTTTATTTAATATCAATAGCTGCAAAAAAAAAAGAATAGTATAAGTTGCGCTATATCAAATAGAATAATAGTTAATTGTAAATATATAATAAAACGTTGAATTTTCGGCCGTAATTGAGGCTATCGTCAGAACAAATTGATGAAACAACTAATACAAAATAATAAATTTATAATCAATATCATAATGATTATTGTACATAATGTGTACGATATGAATGAGATAAATCAATAACAAAACCAGTAAATGAAAATGCACCTAATCCAGGACCTATACCACCTAATACA